TTAGTTCCAACTTCAAATAATTATAAAAAGAATTTTATAAATAAATCTACCAAATTGGTGAACTAAACTTATTTCATGACACGAAAGTTGCATGTCATACACGACAGTTGAAAATATACACTAGTAACATTATTTATAATGTTAAATAACGGGATTCAATAATTGCGTAAATTCTGTTAAGGATCTTGTGAGACACTCCTTCACTCGTACCTACCTAGTATACATCGTAAGTCCTGTAGTTATAAACAGAGTCTCCTGGAAGGAGAGCAGGATATTGTGTATAGATCTATACGGGGATGACACCCCACACCTAAGCTATTCGCTACATCTAGACAGGCCAATCCAGAGTGATAATTATCTTTAGAAACCGATGCCTGAAGAACATCAAGACAGACGCTCTCATCACATTACTATGGTTGTAACGACTCACATACAGAATAAGCAATATTATTTCAAAATTAACGCAAAACATACACTCTACACATTTTACAAAGTACAAAACTACGTGCCGCCTATTTTGCACTAATCTCAACACTCTGGTTATAGGGTTTTAAGACCATAATATTTTGTATAACGGAAAATATAGGATTTTTTTGGAAACACTCTCTGTAAAATTCTCAAACAAGGTAAACAAAGTATACACATGCAATTACACATGATTTGAAACAAGACTCTCAAACTATTTTTACAGAAAATTTTGTATTTTCTGGAGTTTACAAATTATTACAAAGTTTTTCTTACAAATATTCTTATGAACTCACCAAAATTTTATATGTTGACGCTTTTCAAAACGACTTGTATTCTTAGGAACACAGTGAGGAGGTTTTCGGTCGTAGACATTGGATATTTGTTGTTTTTTTGGATTATCATACATTATGTTATTTTGGATGTATTTTCATTGATAAATTCAAGGTTGTAAACAATACATGTTGGTATCCTTAATGTATGATTGTGATTGCTATGTTTCATTCATATTCAATTTTTATGATATTAGAAGATGAAGTCACCTGCCCCAAGACGTTTCCTCCATCCCGGTTCGGGGGTGTGACAGATTGGTATTAGAGCATTGTTTATAGTGAACTAGCATATCTAAGTATACAAGATATGAAAATATAAATACAGTGGGACTAAAATACTCTGAACAAAAATAATATACATAGATATGTGTGCATATTAGGAGTATTATCATAACAAGAAACAATTAATAGTCTTGGAAGAGTTGGACATCACGGTTAAACTGAGGCAGTTATGTAATCGTATTAGGGATAAAAATAGCCTGATCAACTATATTTATTCAAAATACGACCAACATGTGCTTGGGAGTGATCTTGGTGGGCAATGAATCTAAAACTTGCCAACTTTAAATCCAAAAAGTTTTAACAAAACAAACCTAAACAATTAAAATACTATAGGATTATTTTATCATATCATCTATTTTCTTGTACTTATATATATATATATATATATATATATATATATATATATATATATATATATATTCTCATGCAGACGCTATGGCTGGTTTTCATCTCCTTGGAGACCCAAATTTCCCTAACCAGGAAAATGTGGGATTGTTGGAGGAAGAACCGGAGGAGGACCCCGAAGAATTGGAAGAGGAACCCGAGGAGCCTGCGGTAGATTTTGAAGAGGATGAGCTTGATGATAGTGACGAGGAAAACAATGAGGATTACTCGGATGCAGAGTCCAAAGTCATCAATCCAACTTACATTGCTAGGGTGCTAGCACATAGAATGGGCGCCAATTACCCTACGCCTCCGTGGAAGTTTGGTCATCACATATCTAGGTAATTAAGAAATCAAACAGCATGGTTGCCAAACAAAACACTATAAATAAAGAACTTTTTCTCAAAGTAATTGAGAACGACATCAAGAATGATCTTGAACTGAAAGCTTGTATCCACTCCATAATCGTTGAGACTTACAAGGAATACAAAGAGAAGGATGATATGGTTCAATGCATCACTACCATCAAATCATCTCTCCTACAAATGCATGCAACATTATTCTCTATAAGTGACAAACGCAAGGATCTCCATGTTATGGAAAAGTTGAACAAAGTCACTAGCTTGATTGACGGGATAAATGAAGAGAGACGGGAATGACTGGAGAGGTTGAAGAAGGAATAAATGGGGTTTGTTCTGGTATTTTTGGTTTTGTTTCTTTGATTTTTGAACGACTTTAGTTTATGATAGTTAGAGTATTTTTTGGAATGGATGTTTAATTTGGTATGGAATGACTAATGAGAGAGTTAGGTAGACATTGGGTTAACCACTAAAATAGATACAACAACTGGAGTCCATACGTAAAAGTCATGTCTAACAAAATGTTTTAAATTTAAAAAATAAACAAATTAAGAAAACATAAAAAAAAACTATAAAAAGAATTGTTTTTTTAAAACAATCAAGTTGAGAATTAAATGTGTAATAAGGTTTTATATTTGTACACGTTTAATCCCACAGAGAATCAAGACATTGTCATTTGTCTTGATAGTAAAATTGCAATGTACTTTCTTACAACCATTTGTCTTGGCCAACAAATCAAAAAATTAAGCCATTTTTCATTCCACTTAATCTCAAAACAGTAATGAACTTACTTACAAAATCTTTCAGCGAAAAAATATTTACTTATCTAAACCAAAATTTTGTGTTTTAAGATATTGTATTGTACAACTTTATAAATCATAAATGGTTGTGTTTGAAGGAAAATTGTTGTGTACAAATCACATCCCATCATAATATGTTATTAGTTTATAGTAATAGTAATCGGATTGTTTAAATAACATTTAACAGGCAATTAACCGCCATTATCATTACCCTTAATAAAATCAAACTTTTCTTTCATCTTCCCCATAAATAAATGATCATTTTTTCAAAATCCCTGTAAAATATCTTCTTCTAATCAGAAAAATAACTATGGTTATTGCAAAATTTTGTGTTTTAAGATCTTTCATCTTCCCCATAAACATCAGGTATGGTTTTTTCCTATATTTCTTAAAATTACTATGTATTTACCATGTTTCTTGAAATTACTGCTCACCCTATTTCCTCTTAAACATTGTGATAAAAACGCCATGATTTTGCAACTTTATAATGACAATAGGATCTCTCGTATATGTCAACACACTATGGTTGACGATCTTCCTAACCCCATCTTTTTTTTGGTTATGGGAAAGTCACATCATTATCTGTAAAAGACCTATGTAATACAAGACGTTGGTAATTCTCACACACCCCTTACATATACTTGTATATGTCACATTAAGGTTACCAAAATCATCTTGATTTTTTCTTATAAACTTTAAATTTTAACTTCATTAGTTATAAAGTACGAATGAAGCGAGAAAGGAAGGTGGTGTCTATAAATGTGTCTTCATTAATCGGATTCCTTTAACTATGGTTTTTGAATGAACACAAAAAGGCTTTATTGATAAATGTGCAGAAAAGAAATTGAGGCCTCATATCGAAAAGGAGTGGTACATATGAATTGTGATCATCAATTTTTTGAAACTTAAATTTTTTTTTGATTTGTTATTGATACTAACGTTAATGTTAATATTGATGATAATTATAGAATGAGTACTTCTATGGTGGTAATTTCGAAGATTGAATCAAGTTGTTAAGTACTGTTGCAACAAAAGATCATTGGGAAGCAACTTATGTTCTTTCAATGATTTACATCTACAAAGGATATCCAACATGCAAACAAGGTCTTGTATATACTAAATACATGTCTTGTTTATATAAAATTTCCTTTTATTGCGATATAATTTATAATGCAAGTAGTATAAAATTGAATAGGATGGTAACTAGGGTTAGTAATGTGTGGTTATGACACAGATGAGTTAAATGATCATTAAATAGTTCAATAAAAGGAATAAATAATGGCGATTAGGATTGAATAATGGGTTGTGAGTGTTGTTGTATAGATTTTTCTTGGATGATGTGGCAATCCATTGAACTCTATAGTGTTCAAGGATTGTAGATACCATTAGATATATAGCACTCATGACAAGAAAAAATATTTGTGGATATTTGATATGTTTTCTTAATTTCTAAAAGGTCCTCATTAGGTAACATACTTTAATTTAGTTTACTATGTGTATTAAAATTTTAATTTTTTACTATTTGTTGTTATGTGTATGTTATGGTGTACAAAAGAAACATGTTATATATATATATATATATATATATATATATATATATATATATATATATTATAGGACTATTTTTCATGTGTAATTATAGGTTTAGACATACTGGATAATTGTTTTGATATATTGACAGTATGTGATCTTGATATTGTTGATTGTTCAAGAAAAGCTAGGGAATTCTGACAAAATATGTTTCTTCGACATAAACCTTCAGAAGATCAAGTCATGACTTTACAATATGAAGACCATATAGTCACAGATCACTACAAGAAAATGACCCTTTTACGATGCGCAAACCATGACACTCATTGATTTATGTTACTCAAAAGAGAGTGACATTAAAAAAAGTGTCATCTCTTCAAGAAAGTGGATGTCAATGATACAAGCTATTGAACTACAGTGCTACATCTTTCACATAATGTCTATTCTATTCACATTTAATGGTATATTATATTTTTAAGTTAAATTTTGTCATGCTAGTTTGATTAATTTGTTGAGTTTTAAGGGGAAGAACTGACATTTGATTACAACTATGTAAGGGTCTTTGGTCCTGTAGCCAAAAAATGTGTGTGTGGGTCGTCCAGGTGTCGAGGCATGATTGGTGGGGACCCACTAAGTTCTGAAAGCTATATAATGAGGTCCAAGATCTTGTTGTTTTAGGTCTTCACATTCATGGTCTAGCTAGTGTTGACCTAGTTTTCATTTAACTGATCTAGGTGATTTATTTTCTTTAAATAGGAAATATTAGAGTTGTTGTTGGGTGAGACCCTCCTCAGGAGGACGATCAGATTTCAAGAATGTTATAGACAGTAGTGGTCCTACCGGGTGAAATGTGTATAAAGTTTGATGACATTGGTGCTCTTGAGGATGTGAAAAGTGCATTATTCAGGGTCTGTATTTTTTATTTTATTTTAATAGAGCAGTCTATTCCATTTTATTATTGCCTATCTTGGGTATGATTTATCAAGGTAGTCTCCCTTAGTCCCTTTTCATTTTATAATTAGGACAGAAGCAATGAAGTAAACTGTTAGCATCTAGCAATCAAACAAAGTTTTTTCAATTTACTGATATAGACTATAGATGTGTGTATAACGTGAATCAATGACATGAATTCTGAAGCAATCAATAAAGTTAAATTTATGCATCTCCTGAGATGATTTATCCATTTACACTAGCTGTTTGGACATATTCTAGTAATCTCTTAAGTCTTAATACCTATTATTTGTTATGCTTGCAGAGATCATAGGAGCCAAGTGATAAAGTTGATCTTCACTTTGTCTACAAAGATGTTGAAGGAGCATCAACATAATGGGATGATATTCATAGAAAATTCAGGACTTACTTCCCAAACCCCCTTCCTTCAAACCCAATCCTTTCACTCCTGCAGATGATGAAGACTCAAAACCTAAAACCAAATCTCAGATCGATAACAAGACAGAAGAAGAACTCAAAGATTTAGAAGATGATCTTGATGACAATTGTTTCCTCAAAGAATGCAGGTACTTTCAACTCCCTTAATCCTAATCTCATTTTATGAGGGCATTAAACTTCATGTGATATTTTCATGGTTTCATTTTCTTTTATGCTCTTGAAGGAGATAGAGGTTAGTAGAGATGAAGCAAATAGTGAAAGTTGCAAAGTTTTACTCAGTCATTCCCATTTCAGGATCCGACTTTGTGTGTGAGGTATCACAAGATCCATATGATGTGTGGGTGGTTGTTATTCTATATAAAGATGGGTAATCACTAATTCACTACTATCTTGTTTGTTATTTATTAGCAATTGATTTTGATTATATGGTTGTTAATGGGAACTTATGAGTGACTAGGTACCCAGATTGTGAAGTTCTAATGCAGTGTGTGGAAGAACTGGAAACAATGTATTCAGCTACCAAATTTTTCAAGATTATATCAACTCAATGCATTCCTAATTATCCAATTATAATATTCCCACTGTGTTGGTGTCCAATAATGGTGCAGTGAAGTCAAATTATGTTGGATTGCACACTTTTGGTAGGAGATGCACTCCAGAAGGTGTTGCTATGATTTTATGCCAATCAGATCTTGTTCTTAATGATGGACTCAATGGTAAAGCTTCTAGAGAAGTTGTTCTTGAAGGAGTGAGGAAAAGGTTTATAGAGATGCACTCCAGAAGGTGTTGTTTTCTTAATGTTTTATGTTAAATTATAATAGGTTTCTTTTAGTAACATGATTTGAGATTTTATCCCCTTTTAGATATGTCTGTTTGTTTGGCATTCATTTGCTTTGTTTATGTTGTTATGCAACTGCTCTTTCAATCTTTGTTGTCAGTCTTTTAAAGGAATATTGCTTTTTGGGCCTCCTAGGAAAACACTTGTTGCCAAAGCAGTTGCAAATGAAGTAAGAGCTAACTTTATCAGCATAATTGGTTCCACAATTACATCTAAGGTACTTTCATTTCTCCACTCCCCACCCATAAATATTTTTTACATAGTTCTCTAGTGATATTTTTCCTTCTTTCATAGAATGATTGGCTCCTATCTTGTTTTTTGATATTTAAATGCAATTTTTTTCTTAAGTTGGTGGTGGCGAAGTTTAATACCATGGTGAGGTTGCAAGGCTTAAAGTTGCCATGAAGATTGTCAAAGCATAAATTACTCATGGGTTCCTTTTAATCTTGTACATGTTTTGCTTTTCTATAATAAATATTATGCAATATCAGCAATGTATTACATTACTTACTATTGGAATGATAACTTGTATTTAACATATTAGTGCAATGAATTATCTTTCTTATTTATTGTATTTTATTTTGTATTATAAGATTTTAATGTGTTATTCAATTTAAAAATTACTAAATCTATCAAAATATATAATTTTTAAAACATTTAAAATTATGACATGCAAAAATGTGTGTCGTCTTTCTTTATAACAGTGGCTTTAATGATACACAATGCGTGTCCTAAACGCGCGTAGTAAGGTTACGACACGTAAATGTGTGTCATCTTCCTTTATGACAGGGCCTTCCTTGACACGCAATGTGTGTCGTAAACGCGCGTCGTAAATGCGTGTTGTCAATGCACGTCGTAAATAGACGACACACAAAAGCATGTCGTCTCTCATTATGACAGGGCCTTCCTTGACACACATTTGCGCTTCGTCTGAGCGTTTTACGACATTCATTGCGCATCATAAAAGACTGTTTTTCTAGTAGTGGATGTCATTGATGAATTTCTTGAGCTTAATCAGGATTTGGATTTTTGTCATGTTTGTAAGTGGTCTCATGAGTACATTGGTTTTTGTAAATATGTATAACATCTTCATTAGGTAGGTACATGGTAAATGTTAATGTAAAAACAATATTTTTTTGCGTTCTTTTTGTTGATTTGAATGCTCATAGCTACAAATGTGTAAATTAATGCAACTAAATATCTTATTGTAGCATAAATGAATGTGTTTTAACTTTTTGATGTTGATTATATACTTATTTAACATTTAACAAATCATAAGTTAAAGGTGATCACTTAAAAAAACCATTGGGAAACACATTTTCAAATTTTAATGGTTAATTTATTATTCGACTTCATTTAAAAACAACTTATTTGCTTATTGTTTATGGATTTTTGACAAGTTAATAAGTCAAAAAGCTTGTTTGTCAATATGAAAATGACTTTTAAAATAACATTTCATTAACCCTTCAAAAATTAGATTTCAATAAGTTAGGATTTCTAACTTTTCAAAACTCCATAAAATATTTTGAATAGTAAAAGAGAAATACCCCTTAAAATATGTATAAAGTTAAAGACAAAAGATTTATCAAAAACAATTTATTAACTTATTGGACTTGGATGGTTTGAACCAGTTTACTGCACTTGGGATAATTGGATTTCATTTAGCCAATTAAGGTACATATAACATAAAAAACTCATAATAAAATTTAGCATTTGGCCACCATTTTCGGCCGTTGCATGACTTGTTACGTATTTTTTCATGTTAAAAACTTCAATGTAAGATTTAATTACTTGAAATGAAACTTCAAAACCTTATGTATCACTTAATAACCAATACAAGGTAAATGTGTATATAAAATAACAAAACTCGTTAGTAAAAGGACATTTAGCAAGAGGATATATGACCACCATTTTCGTTCGTCGCAAGGCTTGTCACTTTTTTTTATGTAAAACATGTTGGAATAGTGTCTAAGGCTGCAACTATATTAGGCAAGTATTTGACCCAATTGTGCATGGTCCTTTTGGGTTGCCTTCACCATAGCAACTTGGTAGGATGATTTATTATGAGAGAATAGATATTATTAATATATTATGAGGATAATATAATGAATAATAATAATGTTATTTGATTAATATAAGTCATAGATTAATTAGTATTAATTTGGTGACTTAAAGAGATTAATTAAATAAGAGGGTATAAACTGTCAATTATTTGATAGTTACACTTTAGGCTGTAAATCCTTAAAGGATATGGGTTGGAAGAATTCTAGGGCTTGGGATAGCCTCAAATTCGTCCATGGCTTATCTATGGTAAGGATTAGGATTGCTTAGAGTCTAAGTTATCCAATTAGGGTTTAAGGGTGAAACCCTAGGAGCCTTACAAGTATAAATAGACCCCTTGGGATAGGAAATCGACACCTCCTCTACAGCAAGGATACCCTAGCCGATTTCCTCCTCTCTCCTCTCTCTCTCTCTCTCAAATCATTCTCTTTGCTAGTTGGTGTTTGTAAGACATTAGAGGAGTGACAATTGTGACTCTAAAGCTCCAAGAACAAGAAGATCAAACAAGTGTTTCAAGGTATGCTTCTAACTCTGGTTTTGTATTGTTCTTATACCTAATTAGCCATTAGGAGTCTTGGATTCAATGTATGTTTAATTAGAGAAACCTAGATCCAAGCATTAGGGTTTGTATGCGCACATAGGAATGTTCTTATGTACAAAACCCATCAAAACCAATGTTAATTTACGAAGTCTGATTTGCAGTGGTTACTCGTTTTAGTAAAATTGCATGGAAACAATCATTTCAATTACTTTATGACCTTTAGTGATGACAAATAAGAAAAACGAGACCACCTAATTTTCAAAAATTCACGTCATAACCCAGTTTTGTACTAGTGTCTACAAGAAATCAATACTTCAAGACTCGATAGTGTTAAGCTCAACCTCGGTGCTTTACATGACTCGGTGCCCAATTTTACCCCAAGAAACTGGGGTCTTACACCTCCGACCATACAACATCTCAAACGGGGGTTGGTCGATACTAGCCTGACAATTATTGTTATATGAAAACTCTGCTAGTGGGAGGTATGTATCCCAACTCCCTCCAAAGTCCAGTATGCACGCCCATAGCATATCCTCGAGCGTCTGAATCGTCCGCTCGCACTGGCCATCTGTCTAAGGGGTGGTATGCAGTGCTGAAGTGTAACTAAGTTCCCAAATCTTTGTGGAACTTCCACCAAAAACTGGATGTGAATCGAACATCACGGTCCGAGACCACCGATATTGGCACTCCGTGCCTGATCACCACCTCCGGCACATAGATATCTGCTAATTTCTCAACAGAAACACTCTGGGAGATCCGAATAAAATGGGCACTCTTTGTCAATCTGTCCACGACAACCCATATGGCATCCACACCTCTCACTGTCCTCGGTAACTTCTTGATGAAGTCCATGCAAATCTCTTCCCACTTCCACATAGGAATGGGTAGCGGTTGAACCTTGCCTTGAGGCCACTGATGTTTGGCCTTGACCTTCCTACAGGTCAAGCACCACTCCACAAACCAGGAAATCTCCCGCTTCATGCAGGGACACCAGTAACTTAGCCTCAGGTCTCTATACATATTTTTAGCCCTTGAATGTGTAGAGAACTTGGCCTTTTGTTCCTCTTCCAATATCTTCTATCTCACTTCCCCAGATGTCAGAACCCACACCCGGCCACACTGTGACAAAAGACCCTGACCATCCCAAACAAACAAGGGAATCTGACCACAAATCCGCTCTAACTTCTAATTTTCTCTCTTCAAACCCTCCACTTAAGCCTTCTTGATCATATCTAACAGTGGAGAGACAACCATCATCCTAAAACATATGTTCCTGATCGAAGAACCTACCACCTTGAGGCTCAAAGCATCGGCCACCATATTGGCCTTCCCTGGATGGTACAACATCTCACAGTCATAATCTTTCAGTACATCCAACCACCTCCTCTATCGCATGTTGAGGTTCTGCTGATCCATCAAATACTTCAAACTTTTGTGGTCAGTAAAAATGGTGCACCGAACTCCGTACAAGTAATGCCGCCAAATTTTTAGAGCAAACACCATTGCCCCCAATTCCAAGTCGTGAGTTAGGTAATACACCTCAAGAGGCTTCAACTGCCTCGAGATGTACGCGATCACATGCCCCCTATGCATCAATACTGCCCCTAACCCTAAGATCGATGCATCAAAATATACTACCAAATCATCCAGCCCCTCAGGTAGTACTAGAATTGAGGCCTCACATAACCTCTGTTTCAAGGTCTCGAAAGCCAACTGTTGGTCCGGGCCCCACCGGAAAGTCACATTTTTCTTGGTCAAATAGGTCAACGGCACGTAGATCTTGGAGAAATACTGGATGAATCTCTGATAATACCTTGCTATACCCAAGAAGCTATGGATCTCAGATGCATTCTTCAGTACTTCCCACCGCATCACTGCCTCAAACTTGGCTAGATCAACCGAAATACCCTCTTGGTTGATGATGTGTCCCAAAAGATGTACAACCGGTATGCTTACCAAATCTATCAGAGTCTCGACCCTTATATCCAAGATATACGCTAAGAACTTGAACATCTCTAATGGAGAAGTCTCCTAGCCTTCGCAGCTGAACCGAGGGTTGGCCCCTGCGAGGCCCTCTACCCATGAATAACTACTTCTCCTCCACTTGGGGTTCGAACTCTTACCAGTTGGTGCTCACAGTCTATCATGGCCCCATTGGCCCCCAACCAATCCATTCTGAAGATCATCTTCAGCCCTCGCAATGGTATCAAAATCAGATCAACATGGAACCTCTCCCCAAACACATTCAGGACATAGTCTTGATATATCATCGCAACAATCATTATGCAGTCATCCGCAATCTCAACCTCCAGTGGGGAATCCAACGTTCCCGGAGCATCCCTAATCTTCTTGCTGAGCATAAGAGACACAAATGATCGGGTAGCCTGCAAATAAAAAAGAACATGTGCTAACACACCATTGACCAAAAAGGTCCCTATACCAGCACACATGTATAAATACAAGCATAACAGGCAATTAAATATCAAGCAGGGAAATACTTTACATACCATTCATGACGTCTGGTGTTGCCCGTGCCTCCTCGGTAGTCAACTAAAATGCATGGCTCTTCAC